ACAGATGGAATGATGTTCTAGAAAGCAAAGGAGGTTACGTTAACAAATAAATATTTCCATAATCATGGGCTAACCATTATACCACCTCAAGGTACCTTTGCTGTTTAGATATATGTGATATCTTGTTCTTTTCATGTGTATATATATATAAATATATATATATATATATATATATATATATATATATATATATGAATGTAACTCTGAGAACAAAGCATGTTTGTCATTCTTTTTCCTTTCAACCATTACATTCCTTCAATGAAATATCGGTGTTATTATATCAAGGATATAATGATGCCCATAATGGGGGAAATACAAATGGGAGAATAAATTTTTCTTTGCTAGCACTCTATCTTTCTGTCACTCACTCACTCTTTCTCTCTCTTATTCACTCTCTCTCTTTTTCACTCAATCACTCTCTCTGACTCTCTTTCTCTCATTCTCTCTCACTCACTCACTCACTCTCTCTCTCACTCTCTCTCTCTCACTCTCTCTCACTCACTCTCTCTCTCACTCATTCACAGTCTCACTCAGTCATGCTCTCACTCTCTCATTCACTCACTCTCTCTCACTCACTCTCACTCTCTCTCTCTCTCAATCATTACACTCATTTACATAATAATTATCCTTATTACAAGGAAGGATGTTTTTGTTAAGTTTTCTTGTTTGCACAAGAGAATTCATGTCTGAATGAAGTGTATGTAAATATTGCTCAAACATTTGTGATCTAGCATTCTCAATATGAGGATCAGCAAAAACTGCATGGCTTCTTTCTGTCCTTTCCCAGCCATTGGCTGCTGTTTATGCATTAGGATGATATCACACATGATGTGACATGAAAGTAAATTTTATAAAATTAGGAATAAACAATATCAGCCTATTGAAGAAATATATTCATAAAATTGTCACTACCAATAAGACTGGAATTGTCCATTAAACTGGTAGCATTCTTCATAAGGTTCTGCTAGCCTACTCTATTAAAATTCCTTTCTATAACCAAAATGTCATCATTTATTTAGAGACTACTGGCATTGCCATGGGATCCTCTCTTAGAGCACTATTTTTTTAATTATTACATGTCTCACTAAGAAAAAAAACACAATCTTTAAAAATATTTTCAAGCCAATAATTTATGTTAGATAAAATGATGATATTTTTTATCCAATGTAATTGCCTTGATGAAATAAAAATCTCTGCCTTCAAAAAATAATTTCCTCCTTCCTTTCACTTATGAACTCCATACTGAAAACAGAACATTATTTTTCTTAATGTCTTTCACATTCAGTAACCCTTTGTATCTTAGTGGCTATATTGTCTGGCTTGGGGTGAAATGATTAAAAAAAAAATAAACAAAGTAAATGAATAAATAATAAATAAAGTTAAACTCTAATCCAGCATGTGCTGTGTCATTTAGGAGGGATTTCATTATTGGAATCAGCAGAGCACCCCTGATTACCTTTTGAAAATATTAGAGACATTATAGATTAAATCTAAGCAGGCTTCCATCTGTAAGCAGAAGGAATGGCTGCTAGGTCTTAATATAATCAGAATGCAATTATAGTTTTGTTTTCCTGTCTGTTCTTAATTAATTGGGGTTTTAAACATTATGCATACAATTTACACTCTTTTTTTGTCATTATCTTGTTTATTGTTGTTATTCTTTACACACTTTTTTTACGAGATTTATTTTATTATCTTTCTTCCTCTTCCCTCTGTTGTTTTATTTCTATACAATTTGAGTATGTTCAGGATTATAGAATTAGTAAAGTTTCATATCCACCCACCTCCATAGACAGTCTAAAATCTAATAGCCACATCTATAACACCTACTGATATATAAAAAGTTACACATTTGTATTTCTGCCATTGTGGTAAGTAAATAAATAAATATATATATATAAACAAATAAGAAAAAGAAAAAATCAGCAGCAATAAAATTTACTCAATCTTTTTAGTAAGCATTAAAATAAATCACTTACCATCCTCCATAGTTTTCTTGACTTTCATAGTTACCTGTGAGAATATTTTTGAGCATTATTAAATTAAAAAAATTTTGAAAACCTCACAAAATTTACTTCTGTTGCAAAATAAAATTCTTACAATTGCCTTTAGATAGATAGATAGATAGATAGATATTGAGAAGTTTTCAATATTTATATTGGAGAAGTACAATGCATAGATAGAGACAGTATGGACATGGGAATCAACACTTGCATGGCGCTAGTCATTTTTCTGCTTCATTGTCACTTCTGAGTGTGAAAATGATAAGCACCATGAAAATGATATTTTTGCTATCTATCTATCTCTTTCTCTCCCCATATATATATATATATATATATATATATATATATGGAAATAAAAAAGGTAAGACCAATTTTACCCTTCATGATAAAACAAAAACAAAAAAATAAAACAAAACACAGCTGACTGTTTTCACCCTCATTCAACTAAGCTGGAATCAGGGGAATAAATATCACAATACAAAATATAAAAGACAAATAATATGCAATATTAAAGGCAGAATACAACCTAGATTGAAATAACATCAAGCCCTAACAGACACCCCTGCTGTTTGCAGAGGGAGGGCTCTCTGGACCAGACATAAATTGTTTCTAATGTCTTCAACTGTAAAAGCAAATGAGCACAACTCAAGATGGTGAAAGAGTCGGTGCTGAAATTGATGGCACAATTTGTGCTTTTTATGAAGTTCTTCGCAATGGTGAAACCATACATATTATTGACAACATCGCTCAATTGGAATGTACCATTCCTGGTTTTACTAGGTACACGTTGATGCATTCTAGTGTCTAACCATAGGGTAGTTCTACCTATGTTGTAATCACCGCAACTACATTTAAAATGGTAAGTAGTATCACTAATATAGTTGTGGGGGGGGAGAACATTCTTTCCATGCAGACGTAGTGGAAAACACCACACACACACACTAGATGAGAAATAACAATGCTCAATAGCCGAGCTAATTTGTTTAATTACTGTACCCATCAAAAATAAGTCATACTCAGTTTAATTTCAGAAAAATTAGATATTTTCTTACCAATGACCGACCTAATCACATCTGAGAGATACCCATTATTAGATAAAGTTTTGGTGATCTTTTTTATTTCTTCATTTAATTTTGATTTTGAGCAAATTATTAGGGCTCTATGTGTTAGGGTACCAATTAAATTTATTTTTCATTTGTTGGGACAAAATGCATCCCACTGAATATATAAACCGGTAAACGTTGATTAATGATAAATTGATGTAATGTAACAAGATGGAGTTTTGGTTACCAATACATATAAAAATGATAAAGTGGAATTGCTTTCAGTTTCTATTGTATATTTTAATGCTGGATGCATATCATAGAGTAAGGAAAAAAATTTATTGGCCTCCATTGCATTCTCAAAGACGTAAAATGTGTCATCTACATAATAATAATAATACACTAATGGTTTATTGGTTCCAGAAAATAATTGATTTTCATAGAAACCCACAAAAATATTTCCCATAGTCGGTCGTAGGACCTCATCGATTTACCTATACATTACATCATTAAAACTAAATGTAACTGATATAATGGCAAATTTCATTAGCTCTACAAAAATATTTTCAGGAATGGTAGGTTGAGATATCTGGCTATGATATAGAAAATCAGTACAGATATCAATAGTTTCCAAAATAGAGACACAGGTAAACAAATTGCTAAGGTCATAGGAAAACGTAAATTTAGGTTGTTGGATATCTTTTGCCAAAGAGAATGAATCTTCCATCTCTGTTGAGTGACGTTGACAGCTGGTTGGGTGTGTTTTGTTTTTCTTTTTCTTTTTTTCTTATCATGAAGGGTAAAATTGGTCCTACTTTTTAATCTCCATAATAAAATTTTGTATCCAAAAGAAAATTATGAAATATATACACACACACACATATATATATATATATATATATATTGATAATATTAGTGGTTAATATACACACATATATATAGATATATATAAAATGTATAAATATATATACATACATACATACACATAGATTTCTAAGAGGATAGAATCCAGGTAGAACTTAATATCCAGGACAGAGTAAGAATTTATTTTTTTATTCCTGGAGTTTTTTTTTTCTGATTTCTTTTTGAATTTGTAGATCTGATGAATTGGATTGTAATTACGATTCCAATGTAATAAATTATAACCATGGAATATTAGTGTTTAAGCCTTTTTATTATATATTTATATATATATATATATATGTACGTATATATATATATATTTAGCTCTATTTCTGATATTGAGTGCTTTCTAATAAGTACCGCGCATATAATATATAAATAATTATACATATATATATTTATTTATATTTATATACACTTTTCACATATCTATATATATATATATATATAGATATATATATATATATATATGCACACTCACACACACAAACACACATGTACATATATATATATATGTGTGTGTGTGTGTGTGTGTGTGTGTGTGTGTGTGTGTGTGTACAGGGCTGGTGCATACTAGCACCCCACCCTGACTATGGTAGGCCAAGTGTGACTGGAGGCCCCAGGCAATGCTTTGTGACCATTACAATCTTACCAACATTTGCTTTTTTTCTACCTACATTCATATATATTATATATTTTCCCAGATTTTGATGTCATTCTAGGTTTTTTGTTTGTCATCCAAATCTGCGAATCTGTTTTACTCAGGCTAAGTCTCAAAATATCACTATATCAAATTCATTATGTTTTTATCCATAATGTTGATTATGTTAAAATTATTCAACTTTCTAACAGGAAATACATTGATGCTAAAAACTGCTACAAAACATTGTTGATTTATTTAAGAAGGAACAAGATCTATTATGACGTGTCTCTCATTTGTACTTATTTTCAATTTTTCTATTTGAATTGTTTTCCTATATTTCATATGATTCATTGCTGTACATAATTAGGTTACAATAAAATTTGTATTTAATATTAAATTTTGAAAATTGCAATGTTCTAGAGTGAGTGTGCCATATCATAGATTCGGTGTGAGGGGTGCATAAGAATCTTCCACCAACCCTGTATATATCATGGAACTAAATGATAAAGTGGAAAAATCCTGTCATGCATTTCACATTTCTTCCTCTAAAAGGACTTCTTTGAATTAAAGTAATTGATGAAATTGTGTATGTGTAGTGAAAGGGGTGGGGATATAAATGTAAACATCAGTTGTATCTCCCCCTGTATGTATATATAGTGCCATCACTAAGAACATTACTTTAGTTCGATGAAGGCCTTTTAGAGGACAAAATGCATTACTACCATTATTATTTTTTTCCACTTTTCCAATTTTTTGAGTTTTCGTGTTACATCTCTCTCTCACAATAGCTTAATTAAGTCTCATTTAAATACACATGGAAACCTACCAAATTCTATCTGCAACATACTCGTTTATAATACAAATATAATAGCATCATCCACATGAAAAAAGTTAAAAAATAATGAAAGCATTATTAATAAAAAAAAGAAAAAAATCAAACTATGAACACAACCAAAATGTGCTGACCATGTTTGAAAAATAAAACATTCCTATAATTCTAGATACATATATAAAGCAATCTATATATTCAGTGAAAAAAATAGAAATCAAATCATCCTTGATAATTGCTAAAAGTATAGCCACAAGTACATGGACATTCAAACAATTTCTATATAATTTATGTCCGAGAAAGTAGAAAATTATGAGAACACAAGAAAAATTAAATGAAATACTTAATAGCAGTACTTTGTCAGTCATTTTTAATGAACCTTGTATAAAAGAGTGATTGTTGCCAAATATACCGTGATTATATATAGATATATATATATATATATGCCAAGTGTAACACCAAAATTGTCGAAATTGTGTAAGAACAAAATTGTCCAACAGTTAGATTAAGCTTTGAACCATTGTATCTTAGAAATGATTAAAGATATCTTATTGGAATTCTCAAAGGTTTTTATAACACTATTGGACTCTACTTTGAACAATAACAATGTATTTAACTTGAAATGATGATCCCTCTTGTTGTTGTGACTTGTGGATTCAGTTTTCCTGTCTAGTGTTCTCTCTTTTTTAAACTTATTCACCATTCTCTTGATGGTTCTTGAAAAGATTTTGAAGTTGGAAGCTGGAGTATGAACGTTAGTATCATTACTGAAGGTCTGAATGATATTTTTCCTCTCACAATTACTCAGTTGGGAAAACATATGGCTGGCACGAAATAATCCTAATCTGTTATTTGTCTAGCTGAATAATTTAAAGGGTTTTTTGGTGATTTTTATGAGAAATGGTGTCAAGATTGTTAAACATCTTATCTGAAAGTCTGGAAAAAAGAAACTCAATTAGTTTAGTTTTTTTTTAGATGCTGTCTAAATAAACAGACTACTATCAGGTGTAACAGTAAAATTGTCCAAATCATGTAACAACATAATTGTCCATCCCACAAGTGGGAAGGACAATTATGCTGTTACATGATTTGGATAATTTTGCTGTTACACCTGGTATAGTCTGTGTATTTAGACTGCTACACACAAAATGATACAAAAATCAAATAAGTAAAAACAGACTTACAATCCTTGAAGCAACACAAATGCAACAAAAACAACCATTAATAAATAAACAATTATAATTTAAGAACCTAGATCTTTAAACGTATATAAAAAAAGAATTTAAAAAAAAACATCATCACACATCATTTATGTGTCAACATTCTCAGGTGAAGCCCTGATGATGAAGTTGGAAGCTTACAATCATATTTTTTGTACATTTCTTCTGAAATGAACTTCAGAAATTTTCTAATGCAATGTCAATCTTATCCAAGAAGGATTATTTGTAACTTGGAAAAGTTGTTCAGTAAAAGTTAATTGATACAAAATATCTATTGTGTTTAATAATATATATATATATATATATATATATATATATATATATATATATATATATATAAAGACATTTTTTATGTTTATACATTCTTTTTTATAGATAAAAAAATGTCTTAAAATAATTGTCAGACTTTGTCCATTTCATAATATATATATATATATATATATATATATATAAATTTGACAACTTTGGCCTAGCGAATGCTACACTTATTAAAAGAGAAAGTAACTTACTTGAAAGGAAAATTCTCAAAAGTGTTGCTATCAAATCTTAACAAAATATAAATCTGCACACTGCATGCTTTCCAATATCTCCTTTCCTGAAAGAATTACTCTATTCCCAAGCCAATATACATGACCAGAACAATACAGAAAAAGTAAAAGAAAATGGATTAGTCCATAACCTTGTGTTATTCAAAACATATAACACATAAATCAATCCCAATTCCAAATAATTTTAATACTATTTTATATAGATATAGATGCATAAAAAATACATCCTACTCACTTTCATTTATTAAGCATTGAAATCATCCCACATCCATGGACTTAACTGACATTTCTGCCAATCTGATGAATATTCATCAGTATTATATGCCCAAGAACTTTGTATATAAATACTTGTCACAAAATAAAATCCTTACATTTCTCTTGATAAAGTCCCACACAGGTTGAAGCAAGTCAACTAAGATAGGTTTTACTTTTGTTTTATATTTATATATATATATATATATATATATATATATATATATATATATATATATATAATTGATTTATTTAAAATATGTTTTTTTTTTTCGCTACACAGTTCTAACCATGTTTCAAAAATGGAAGCTAAAAGCTACAATTTAATTTTGTAATTAAAGACATTAGTTCCATTTCATCCTCAAATGAATTTTGGAACTAATGTCTTTAATTTAATTACAAAATTAAATTTGTAGCTTTTAGCTTCCATTTTTGAAACATGGTTAGAACTGTGTAGCAAAAAAAACATATTTTAAATAAATCAATTTATAATGTTAATGCTCTGTAAATTTACATTGAGCACTATTTTGTAAAAATAAAATATCTATAAGAACACCGGATTATATATCTTACTGTTCTTTCTTTTTTATTTATATATATATATATATATATATAAATATATATATTTGTATGTGTGTGTGTACATGTATATATATATATATATATATATATATATATATATATATATATATATATATATATATATATATATATATATATATATATATATATATATAAGTGGACACTGCAGTTAACACCTAGAGGTAACAGTCTGTTTCATGTTAAATGTTTCAGGTTAAATGTTTCATGTTAGGCCACTTAAATTTACATACACCCTCCCCATATATAAAGTATACTTTAAAACTATACTTTACCATTATATCTATCTATCTATCTATCTATCTATCTATATATATATATATATATATATATATATATATAACAAACCATGCTGAAGAAGCTCTTGCCATAATCTACTTCACAATATCTGACAAAAAATAATTTTTCTTTTAGAAAGACCTCATGGTCAGACTGATAATTTTTCAACATTCTATCAATCTATATATCTATCAATATATATACATATATATATATATATATATATATATATATATATCAATATATATATATGTGTGTGTGTGTATATCTATATATACATTTATAAATTTAGAATTTCAATTGTCAGAAGTTGATTCCACTTGATCTGTCTTTTGGTGAGGATGGAAAATTAAAAAAAAAGATGAAATAATTTCTCTCTGAAAAATGGAGAAGAACAAGTGGATCTGTCAACTCCAATGATGTGAATGTCGGACAGATCTCTTTGTGTTTACGTCACCCTACCACGATCACCATCCAGCCCTGATGGTGAGCAAGCCCATTAGACATGACCACATAAGTGCCATGTTTAATCATGTGCAAGCTGAGATCTGAAGGTGCCTTTCTAAAGTTAAATACTATACAGAGATTTAATCGAGAAAAATAGTTTCCTGAAGTTCAAGACGGAAATGCCTGAGAGCAATTGTTAGTCCTCCTAAAATCTATTCCAAGTTATCAAATCAAACTGTTGTTTTATGAGAATATTTTTGTCTTATGTAATTCAAGAAATATTTCAATGGAAATAGCTAATGATTTTGTTGAAACTATCACTTTTTTCAGTGGTAGTACCTAAATAGTCCAAAGATTAATCTGCTTATTTTATTCACAGCTTGACTTGTCTGTGTGTCTGTCTGTCTGTCTGTCTATCTATCTATCTATCTATCTATCTATCTATCTATCTATCTATCTATCTCAGTCCTTTTCATATCTATCCCAGTCTATTCATATCTATCTATCTATCTCAGTCTGTTCATATCTATCTATCTATCTATCTATCTATCTATCTATCTATCTATCTATCTCAGTCTGTTCATATATATCTCCATCTATTCATATCTATCTATCTATCTATCTCAGTCTGTTCATATCTATCTATCTATCTATCTCAGTCTGTTCATATCTATCTATCTATCTATCTATCTATCTATCTATCTATCTATCTATCTATCTATCTATCTCAGTCTGTTCATATATATCTCCATCTATTCATATCTATCTATCTATCTATCTATCTATCTATCTATCTATCTCAGTCTGTTCATATCTATCTATCTATCTATCTATCTATCTCTTTCAGTCTGTTCATATCTATCTATCTATCTATCTATCTATCTATCTATCTATCTATCTATCTCAGTCCTTTTCATATCTATCTCAGTCCTTTTCATATCTATCTCAGTCTGTTCATATATATCTCCATCTATTCATATCTATCTATCTATCTATCTATCTATCTATCTATCTCAGTCTGTTAATATCTATCTATCTATCTATCTGTTTCAGTCTGTTCATATCTATCTATCTATCTATCTATCTATCTATCTATCTATCTCTATCTATCTCAGTCTGTTCATATATATCTCCATCTATTCATATCTATCTATCTATCTATCTCAGTCTGTTCATATCTATCTAACTATCTATCTATCTCAGTCTGTTCATATCTATCTATCGATCTATTGATGTATCGCTGTTCATATCTTTGTTTTTCATAGGAATCATCCCAAGCAAGGCAATAATGCTACTAAAATACTGGGTGTTATAGGGTGTGATAGAATTAGGAACAGAAAGATTAATGATGAGTAGAAGGAGAAGAGAGTAATCATGCGAACAGTAGATAGCAATTGACATTGTATTTTTAATTCTTGCAGATTGAACTTGGCTTGAAAGCATGGCGCCAGAAGGGAGTTTCACAAGTGAGAAGTGCGAGAAAAGAAACTGTCAGCATAGAACTTACAGCGATATCTAGCCTGCTCAACTCTAAACTGATGAGATCTTTGCACCAGTCTAGTAGTGTACTTAAATTCAAAAACTCTAGGCACCATAATGAACAGTTCATTCAAGCAATTGCCATGAAAGTCTTTATAGAAAAGACATAGAGATGCAATCTTATGGCGGGGGGGGGGGAAAGTGACTGGAGCTGAGCTGCCAGATCAGGACCAATAATATTGTGGATTCTTCTTTGGTAAATAGCAGGGGCACTGGACCATATATGACAGCAATATTTTAAGCATAGATGTATGGTAGACTTATAGATATGTAAGATAGATTCTAGAGAGAAAAAGTGTTCCACCCAACATAGTAAACTGATTTTCTTAGCAGCTGACCTAGCAATGGATTCAATACGGTCTTTCCACTTCATGTCAGCTGAGAACCAGATCCTGAGAAGATTCAATGTGTCACTTTGCTGAAGGATAGCATCAGCCATGCTGATTGAAGTTGGCAAGGGGTGTCTCAGATGATTAATGGAGAGAAGTTTAGTTTTGGAGGCATTAAAATTTACAAGATATCTTTTGCTGCAATTAACTAAGGCCTTGGGGTCGTTTTGGACATTGGCTGCTATTTTGACCTTATCAGACTGATCAGCGTTACTGTGTAGGCAAGAGTAACTTGTTATGTTGTCAGTGTAGACACCAAGTTGAGAGCTGATGTCAACAGGAAGGTCATTAATGAAAATTAAAAATAGAGTAGGATCAATGATGGAGCCCTGGGGAGAGGACACCTGCATTAGTATGAAAGGATCTAGATGAGTGGCCATTCAGGATGACACTCATTTCATGATTTGATAAGAAAGACTGGATCAGTTCAAAAATGTGTCTGGAGACAGTAACTTTTCAGCTTGTGGAGAAGGCCTGAATGTCAGACCCTGTCAAAATGTTCAATGCAAAATCTTGTCTTCACCATTTTTATCTAGAGTATGATAGACTTTATGCAATTATTGTTAGTTCATCAGCAATTGACCTGGAGAAACAAAAGCCATATTGCTTGTTTGAGAAAAGCCTCTGATGATGACCAAAGGAAAGTTTAAAAATAATCTGAGTTACACAACATGATTTCTCACAGAAATATTCCCCATATCTCATATGAGAGTTGTAAGATATTTGAGGACACTTATATATGGGAATGGACAACAATATACGTGAAAGATTAGATCACAATCATTTGAATAATATTTACATACAATGGACCCAGATGAGAAACATTAAGTAGAAAATTAAAAAAAACTTTCTTCTATACTCTGTTTTTTTTAAACATGTATTAATGAAGCAATACTGTGTGAATACCCAGGATGTAACCCCATATATATATATATATATATATATATATATATATATATATATATATATATATATATATATATATATTATATATATTATATATGTATATATGTATGTATTATATATGTATATATATATATATATATATATATATGTATATTATATATGTATATATATGTATATTATATATGTATATATATGTATATTATATATGTATATATAAATATGAATATTATATATGTATATATATATATGTATATTATATATATATATATATGTATATTATATATGTATATATATATGTATATATATATATATATATATATATATATATATATATATATATATATGTATATATATATATATATATATATATATATATATATATATATATATATATATATATGCATATTATATATGTATATATAATAAAGGTAATGAATCTGTTGGTATATAATCCAAGTAGATCCTAATAATAACAAATATTAAAACTGATCCTCAAAAAACAGCTCAATGTATTTATTACAATGTAGCATCTAAATGACATAGCAATAAAATCCAAAATTACCTCATCTGGGTATAGATTTATTTAAACCAACGTGAATTACATTGGTCTTATTCAACCCCAGTGGATGGACTGGAATCAGATATTCAAAATTTAACTTAAACAACACTCCATTTCTTTTAATGTATGAATCTTCTGAGCTGATTTTATATTACTAAGTATATAGATATATATCTAAATAATACAGCATTATTTCTTATTACTAAAAGCAATAATGTTTGAAGGAATAAGAAATAGTTATATATTCATACATATATGTGTGTGTGTGTGTGTGTGTGTGTGATACAAATTATTAAGGGGATTTAAGATAAACATAAATAATTCATCATGTCTAGAAGAATCCACAACAGAATGCAAAAATCTGTGGACAGCCATTTTGTCCTATTTTGGTACTCATCAGCAGTGTGCATCCCCTACCGAGAATCAAATACGGACCATTAAATTATGACACTAACATCATACCCACTGGAGTAACAGGTCTTGGTGACGAAGAGGTAACAAACAAGCTGCTCTTCACAAAATCCATCATATAATTCATCCAATTTTACTTAACCCAGTGGACTGTGCCCCCATGTGTCATGTCTTCTATCCACAAGCCACTCCATTAGAAGCCAGTTCAAGCAAGGATAGAAATTATTAGGGGACTTGAATACATAAATATATATATATATATATATATATATATATATATATATATATATATCAAGTAACTGATTTAAAAATATGGTTCCTTTTGCTAAAAATATTTATGCTCTGTAAATTTATATTGAACACTGTTTTGTAAAAATAAAAAATATCAATAAGAACACCGGATTATATATCTTACTGTTCTTTTCTATTATATATATTTATATATATATATATATATATATATATATATATATATATATATATATATATATATATATATATATATATATATATATATATATATATATATATATATATATATATATATATATATGTGTATATATATGTGTGTATATATATATATATATATATATATATATATATATATATATATATATATATATATATATATATATATATATATATATATATATATATATATATATATATATATATATATGAACTACATATATATGTCTGTGTGTGTCTGTGTGTGTGTCAAAATTTCAGATAGCGTATATACATAAAAAGAAAATATGAATAATAAAGATAAAAGGAAGACTTATCTTAGCTGATAAGTCTAGTCTTCTGTAGGACTTTATCAAGGCAAATGCAAATTTTCAAAAACATCACTTACTAATTTTTGTTTATTAGACATTGAATTGTGTCACTTCAAGTCCTCCATACTTTGCCTGACATTTTCATCTCAACTGATGAATATTTATGAGCATTCTTAAACTTAAAAGCTTTAAAAAACCAATAACATTTTTGCTCTTGTAAATAAATGCTTGTTACAGAATAAAATCCATACATTTTCCTTGATAAAGTCCCACACAGGAAGAAACACTTCTGTCTTTATTATTCATATGAACTACACTACAGTAAAGTTTGAGGCAACCCCTGGTTATTTTTTAAATTGGTTCCAAAAGTAGTTGTTTCGTATTTTAAATTAGAGAAAATTATTAAAAATGGTTAAAAATAAAAGTGACACATGATTTTTTATTAGAGATTTTATTATGACAAAAAGAAAAAAACATTTTATGATTAAATTTTGCTCTCGTCAAAATATCTTCCTTTAGCCTGGATTACTGCAGCACAAATTTTTGCCATTCATTGCAAAAGTTTCTAAAAGTATTTGATTCCATTCTTTTTTCAATGACTCTAAGAAATCTTTTTTTTATTTTCTTTCACTCTTCTGTTAACTTCAGTCCATATTATCTTTTGGCGGTGGCTTCAAACTTTTGAACTGTAGTACATATATATATATATATATATATATATATATATATATATATATATATAGATAGATAGATAGATAGATAGATAGATAGATAGATATATAGATATATATATGTAGATATATATAGAGATATATATGTATGCATGTATGTATATACAGAGAGAGAAAGAGAGAAGGAGAGAGAGTGAGAGAGAGGGTGATTATATATATCAAAAATGCATGGTAACTGTTACATTCACACTTCATTGTTGATTCCTGTGTCTACACTGTTTAAATCTCTGTTAATGCAGGATGTGGAAACTTTGATCTGGAAGACTTGAAACTTCCCAGAAGGCCTACATCAGTCGATGAGGACCAAATGGAAATACTGATTAAAAATAATCCAGGTCACATGATCTGTGAGATTATATGTGATTATGAAAATACTCCACATATTTCATATGTAAAACATTTGAAAACAATTAGATATGTGAAGTGATGTGACATTTCTAAAGTAAATTTAATCAGTTACATTTCTGTCATGATTCTCTGTCCAAACACAAAAAAAAAAAATTGAAAAGGATGCTCACAGGCAATGAAAAATGGATTGTTTACAACAATATGAAGCAAAAGAAATATCCTCCAAAAACAGATCTACATCCAAAGAGGGGAATAATGTGTATCTGGTGGCATTGGCACGGCATTATGAGCTCCTTCTGCAAAATCAGGTGTCATATTCAGATGTGTACTTTTCCAGATGTCTTGAAAATCTGGCAGAAATTGGTACTGCTTGTCTGGGATGTCTTACTTTACCCATTTTACTCATCTGATTTGTAACTTTTTAATCCATATAAAATTCTCTTAATGGGTAAAACTTCAATTCTCTGGAAGCCTGTAAAAACTATACAGATCAGTTCATCACCCCAAATGATACCATTATCTGGTAGCATGGAATCATGCAGCTGTCTCAAAGATTGTGAAATCTAGTGGA